GTGTGTGTGTGTGTGTGTGTGTGTGTGTGTGTGTGTGTGTGTGTGTGTGTGTGTGTTTCTGTGTGTTTCTGTGTGTTTCTGTGTGCTTGCGTGGCGCGTGTGCATACGTGTGTGTGTTTGCGTGTTTCTGTGTGTGTGTGCGCGTGCACGCTTGCGTACGTGATTTCGTGCGTGTGTGTGCATGCGTGCATGTGTGTGTGCGTGGGTGGGCACCTGCCTACGTGCGTGCATTCGTGTGCTCGTATATGCGTGCGTGTGCATGTATGCGCGTGGGCGTATATCTGTTTGCGCGTGCCTGCGTGAGTGCGTGCGTGCGTGCGTGTGTGTCGTGTGTGCGTGCGAGAGATCAGATACAGAATTCCAGCGTGAGGAGGGAGGATGGAGTTTGGCAGCTGTGGGTATTGATTGCGGCTGCTTAGAGACTGTTCTTACATGAGTACATTCGAGAGCTTGATGTCCGTGCAGCGCCCAAACATCTTAACGTGAGACGCGCACGCGCGCGCGCACACGCACGCACGCACATACACACACACACACACACACACACACACACACACACACACACACACACACACACACACACACACAGATGCGCAAGCAAGCATTCACTATAATATCCGCACACGCACACAATCCCGTACGCATGCACGCACGCATACACAAGCACGCACGCAGGCACGCACGCACGCATACACAAGCACGCACGCACACATACACGCGCTCGCGAACACACCCACCCGCACGCACTTACACGCAACCACACGCGCACGCACGCATACACACGCACACGCACACGCACTCACACTCGCATAAGCTAAATGTCGTATGATTGCAAAGATTTCTGTCTCGAGAGATGTGAAATAATAATTGCATGTTCCGTCGCGCAGTTCATTGACATTGTCAAACAGAAAATTGTAAATATCATGATTTACGCGTTGCATATAGACACAGTCTGGTGTTGGGGTGCCAAAACGTTGATATATAATGCTGTAAAAGTCCCAGCGCCAAGGCAGGGTGTAAATTATAGAACATTGGCTCTACCTGATGGATTTTGTCATTGCGAAATCTATTCGAGGTATGCCAGGCAGATATATCATTGTGGGAGTACTGCACTCAGTGTACATTATTCAACGCATGCGCATTGCCATAGTGCTGTCTTATGGTTGGTTATATATTTATGCACACACACGAGCACACACGCACGCACGCACGCACGCACGCACACAGACACTAACCGCTAATGCAGCGTGAGCAAAGCTGTTCGTATTTTATATCTGTTGGGCGTATAGTCACAAATTTCGGTGTTTGTGGGTGTGTATGTGGGCGTGTGTGGGTGTGTGCGCGCATGCGTGCCTGCGTGCGCGTATCAGCATGCGTATGTGCGTGCGTGCGTGCGTGCGTGCGCGTGCGTGCGTGTGTGTGCGTGCGTGCGTGCGTGCGCGTGCGTGCGTGCGTGCGTGCGTGCGCGCGTGAGCGTATGTGCATGCATCCGTATGCGTGCGTGCTTGCGTATGAGCGGGTGGGCCGCGGGCGTACGTGCGCTCGCGCGTGCGTGATTTTTAGCTCACCTTGACATCGTCAAGCCATGGGTCGTCGTCCGTCGTCCGTCCGTCCGTCCGTCAACATTTCGCTACGGTCAACGATAACTCAGGAACCATTTGACCCACATGTTTGAAATTGGGTATAGTTGTTACTGCTATGCTCCCATATTAAACGTCCTATTTTGAAGCACGCCAGTCGACGTACTTTCGAGCCACGGCAATTTTTTGGAAAAAATGGGAATTGCCGTTAGTCAGTTCCGGTTCTACGGATTTTGCTCATTTTTGGTATGTGAATGAATAAGGGCTAGGGGTTTTGATATTTAAAAAAAATTATGCAAATTAGGTAGGGTTTGGCAATTATATAGCATATTATATAGACTCAAACAGTCTGTGGTGTCACACTCGTCTGGTTTGTTTTACAAGATTTCATTGACAATATCTTTAATGCAAAATTGGTATTTCCTCCCCACCCTGTCGATAGAACGTCTATATTAGAGTAAAGTTTTACAAAACATGTCGGAACGCAGCATAACCTATTTATTTCAAACGCCATCGCTACAAAGCGGCTATAGCGCCATCTACGGTCACAAACTGTGATTTATTTTGTTTTATAAATTATTATTGCGATATACAGATGGCAATCGTTTCTATAATGTACGTCAATGGTTGCTCAATTAAAACTGACTTCTTCTTACTCACTCATTTGTGTCCTTTTTTGTGGTGAGCTACAGTGTCATTGACACTTTCATTTCAGGATGCGCGCGCGCTCTCAGTCGTGCGTGATGTTACTCGCAGCGGCGGCAGCAGCGGCGGCGGCGGCACACGCTGCGTGCGGGCGAATGCTCCTTAATTCTAACGCGTATTAGCGCATCTACGGGCCGCCTCGACCAACACCGCCTAGCCGGTGCCATATACTTACCAATAACAATCACGCTGGCTCGGCAGGAAGCTAGATGAAATGCATTACAGACCACTAATTACCGGCTGCATAAGCGGACATGGAAACCCGGCTCCTATTAGCCTACTATATGCCCCTTCATATAGTATAAGTAAAGGTTGTCAGATTAGTAGAAGGGTGGCTGGGGTAGTAGGCTTTCCTGCGCGTGCAGTGTCGCACTGTAGTTCCCAGCCGCGGTATCATATGCAGATTAGTAGAAATATAGTGGAATATATATGACAATATATAGAGTAATATATTGTATGAAGAGCTTGGTGTGTCTCGCATGCTTGTAGGCGATACGGACCGGTGGTGGGCAATTTTCTTTGACTGTCGTCAAGTTTGTTAGAATGTTTTAATCCGAGCAAATAAATGTCAAGTGTATAACGTTCGTGGGATGCTACTCATGGAATGCAGAGTAATAAGTATGAAAAACGGTACATTTATAAAACGGTTATCTTGCATAAGAGAGAGGAGGCTTATACCAGACGGTGTGTGCGCGCGTGTGTGTGCGCGTGTGCGTGCGCGTGTGCGTACGTGCATGCGTGTGTATATTAACTGTCATGTTTCACATCGACGATGCTGTGTGTATGTGTGTGCGTGTGCGTGCGTGTACGCGCGTGTACGCGCGTGCGTGTATACGGCGCGTGTTAACGTTGGACTCCTAAGCAATTTAATGATTGACACTAAGTAGAGTGAAGCACTGTCCGATTCTAAAAACCCGCCGTGTGCTTAATGTAGCTGATGCACGCTAAGTGGTTCGTACTCGGCTGCTATTGGAAGGTTACACGTGCGTTTTAATGTTGCTGATGTAAATAAAGTAGATAGAACGGCGACGCCGAGTTAATTACGCTGCTGCGTCTGCCACTGAAAGCGCGCCGGTCTATATTAGATATTAAAAAAATCTCAGACTATTTTCAAATTCAAAAGTCGGTTCATTTTGTATTTCAATGAACGCGGGAGTTATTTGTTGAATATACGACTGCGCGTAAATGCGTTTTGATGTGATATGTCCTGATACTACACAGCTGTAGGTGTTGATTGTGTGAGAGCTAGAGTAGCGGTGTGACAGTCGGCAACCCTGCATCTTATCACAAATGATGATAGTGTACGTGTGTTCTACGGAGTGTGCGACTGTGATCAGTTTAGCGAGCGATTGGTTTTATAGACGTTTTTTTTTCCGATGTGGCATCTTTTCTTAAAAATCAGTTATTGTACCATCACCTACAATTACGTGAAGTTCTGTTTGTACAGTCAACCCTGTATAGAAGGGTCATTTAAAATAAACCCTTAAAAGTTATTGTACCATCGCCTACAATTATAACGTGAGGTTTCATGTTTGTACAGACAACCCTGTATAGAAGGGTCATCTTTAGGAAACCCTCAAAAAATGGTCTTTATAGACAGGTGTCCGTTCTATGAAGCTGTTCACGGACACATGCTTTACTGTACGACACGCTCTCGTGCATACACGCTCGAATGAAACTTCATGGTTCTTTCGCGCGTCTGCCAAGACTTAGACTAGTCAGCAATGTAGCAACAATGTAGAGCGTGGAGGGAGAGTGCGTGCGTGCGTGCGTGCGTGCGTGCGTGCGTGCGTGCGTGCGCGTGTGCGTGCGCGTGTGTGTGTTGCCAGCACGCATGATCGTCGCGTGCGATTGCTTGACCGTGCTTTCGTCTCTCGGTGCTTTCAGCTACGTGAGTGCCATGGTGCCCGTGAAGACGATGAAGGAGTATGACATCATGCAGGAGGTCATTGTGCTGTTCTCAGAGACCGTGCAGAGGTGAGAAAATCATGATAGTCGAGGTGTTTATGCCAACGAAATTGACATGAGTTAAAGTGTCTATGTCAACGAAATTGACATTAGTTAAAGTGTCTACGTCAACGAAAATGACGATATTGACGTGCTTAAGCCTGGGACACAACATGCAAATTTATTCGCACGTCCGCGGCGATCATATCCGCAGCGAAAATCGCGGCGAAAATATTCGCACCCGCATGCGATAATTTGAGCGGACACACCATGCCAATTTTATTTGCACGTCCGCAGCGTACAGACACTACACGCGATACTTATGGCGCACACTACACGCGATCTACTGGCGGCCAACACGCTCCACTATGGTCAACAGTCATGTGGTCACCGTGATTAGATACTGATCATGATGATTTGCGCGGCTGCGCATTATAACAATCGCCGCATTATTCGCATCGACATGGTAACCCGTCCCTTCTTCACTAAAGGCTGACAGATAGGCCTATATCGAGGCTGCTGAGAATGGGAGCGGGTACCAGTCTATATTCGCACATTCGGCACCTTCCGCAGTGCAAAAATATCAAACATGTTTGATTCGCTGCGAATTTCCGTGCGGCGATGAAATTTGCCTGCGCTTGAGCGGACAACGCATGCACATTTCGCTGCGATTTTACAATCGCTGCAGACCGTGCGAAATAAATTCCGCTTACTTAACAAGTTGTGTTAGTTTAAATTTATCGTTTTGTTGAGTATGGATAGAAGATTTATTACTAAAATAATCTTTTGATAATATATCACTTTGTATCGAACACGATTGTTAGTTTGGGAATAGACTTTGGTCTATTGATTTCGTTGAGCACAGAACACATGTTTGCGGTTAGCGTGGACTGCGGTTGATTATAGCCAGTGAAAATGACCTGAGGAGGTGACACGTGATAGTTCAATAAATGTTTCCGTTGATGTGTTAGTTTTTTATAACGTAGTATATTAGTTATTAATATTAGTTACAATAGTTATTTTAGTGCTTTTTATTGTCGTTATTAGTTTAGTTTAGAGCATTTATGAATGCAGTGCTTTTCTTTCGCGTTTAAAATTCTATCTGATGCACGTCCATGACTAAAAGCGCCAGCATGTCTTGAAGGCCCTTCTGAAGAACTATTGTGGCAGAGATCAATCACTGCACACGAGCATGCCGGCCTGGAACGATATAGCACCCATTACCAAGCCAGCATTTTCTTGCAGACTATTGTCCAAAAGGCATACCTCTCTGTATTAGTGCGGGAGGGTGTTCTTTTTCCCCCGAGACATTCCGAAATGAAGTGTTGCGCGCGCGCATGTGTGTGTGTTGTTGTCGTTGCCACTTCATAATACGCCCCCCCCCCCCCCCCCTTAATAAATCTTACGCGGATGAGCCTAAGCTAGGTCGGAGGGCCATTACCGTAGTCTCTATCTCTATTTTGATCTTGGCGGATGTGGAGGCAATGCTCGGTTATAAGTGTCGCCGGATTGGTGAGCCGGATGTGATTTACGTGTTGGCTAGCGGCGCGAGGGGTCCCCCACCCCCCCCGTCTATCCCGCACGCACGACGTGTCGGAACGACCCCGAACGAGCCATCCATGAGATTATCGACTCTCAGCGAGGGTATTGTCTACGTCGGTTCAGCGCGTCGGTTACAGCACCGGAATATCCATACACTAATTTCGTGCGCTGTCTGCCGGCGTACCCGCGCGAAAAAATGAATGCCGACCCGGTGTCGGAAACGCGCGTCGTCCGTCGGCGGTGACATCCTCGCGGGGAACGGCGCGCCACGGTCGTAAAAACACTTCCAGGCTAGTATCGCCTAATTGTATTTGTTCTCAGGCGATCGGAGATGAAAAACGGGGCCTCGTCAATCGCCCCCCATTTTGTCATTTTATGCGCGCACGACAGTCATGGCAGCCTATGCGAGTTGTTTAGGTTTCGCCGTTAAGTTATGTTTAAGGTCAAGGTTAAGTAAAAAGCGTTAATTCGTGTTTAAGACGCGCTGCGGTCACGTTACTGCAGAGCTACTTGAAGGAGCGCTTGCTTCTGCATGCTTCTCTCTGGGAACCCTGGTCTTCACGTTTTATGGTTTCTTCCTTGGCTTTTGTCTTGCAGGTGCGCTGACGCTGTAACCGTTCTGCACCCAGGAGCAGACGCGACGATTACGACCCAGCCCTGATGTTCAACGTATCCTCGGCTAGCGCTATCGTCTTGGTAGTGTTTTTCACCGCTGCTCCCCGGCGATTAGTTCGTTCGATTTCAAGGAGTTGAACTATGAACGAGTGTTTCTTGCTGCTGTCGGTGAACTGCGTCGTGATGACTGCCCGGATGTTCACCATCCTTCTGCTTAGCACGTCGTCTGGTAGGTGTTTTTTACCTCGACCCATCATTTGATTGTCGAGGAGTTGAACTGATGCGCGCAGAGTTTCTCTGTAGCATGTCGGTGACGGGTGCAGTCTGACAGTGTTCGTATCCCTTGTGGATCGGCTTGCGATTGTCTGAATCTACTTTTAGTCCTCCCACCGGACCCATCATTCGATTCTCGAGAATGTTTTAACCATGCTCGTAATTTCTTCTCATAGCGTGTGTATGTTGAACGGTGCGCGCTGATGATGGCGCTGTTCGTCATTCCTGAGCGACAGCTTTCTCATTTCCTGCTGGCCGTTCGCAGTTTACTTAGTCCCGGAACCGCGGATCGGGGGATTTTAATCCGTTTTATGTTCATTTACGGAGGGCTGAGTGTACGATCCTCCTGGCTTTGTGTCGATGCGCCTCTGCATTGCAACCATCGCATTCTGTTACAGGTTGCGACGTTATGTGGTTCGGGCGGAACTGTGATCGCCGAGATTTTTAATCCGCATATGCTAATTTGCCGAACGGCCCGCCAGAGTTGCTCGCTCAAACGTGCATGCGCGCGCGTTTTGATAAAACTAATTTAAACGACCGTAAAAGTTGGTTTGGCTGTTCCATATTCGCTCGTGTGCCCGAAGTGTTGGTACAGAATGTGCGCCTGTCGTTGTTCTTTTTGAGGGCTAGTGTTGTTAGCTTCGATCTCCTACTGATCTACACGCGCTGTGTTTGTCCAATCATACATCGTGTTCTATGTGTGTGTTATCTCGTGATGACGTACCCGTGTCACTAGCCTGCTAAGGTATCGCAAGCTGTTTTTTTCCTTCTTTCGCTTTCCTCTTTCTCTTTTTTCTTTTTTACTCGACCGGGTTGCGCGGAGGTTATGTTTTCACCTGCGTGTGTTTGAGTGTTGGTTTGTGGGTTTGTGAACATGCACGTTTCAGTTCACTTCCGCTAGGTGCGCTGGCTGTAGACTTACAAACACGCAACCACAGGCTAAGGGGCAACCACAGTCCTCCCCCACCTGCACGCTCGCACTAATCCGGATCCAATTAATTATTTTATTTATTTATTTATTTATTTTTCCACGTAATTAATTAATTAATTAATAAAAAATTTCACATTGAGAGAATTCAGCTGCCTTGGCGGAGGTCTGTGCTCTCCGAGTGCTCTAGTTTCTCATGTATTCTCTCTCTCTGTATGTATATATATATATACTTCTATATTCCTCTTTATATATCCCTCCCCCGTCTTTCTGTATTTGTCACACCTGCAAATCATATTGTCGCGTCCCGAGGCCGCGTCCCGCATCAGACTTGCGCTGTCTCGTCTCACGGCGGACTCACGTTGTCTCACCGTCTCACGGCAGACCCAGGTTGTCTCGCTCGCGCCTCAATGTCTCGCGGTGTACTCACGGCGTCTCGCGTGTGTCGTTGCAGTGGGTTGATCGTCTACCCGGAGGGACCACTGAACGTCGACCAGTTCGCCGAGGACATGTGCGAGATGTTCCGTCCGTTCCAGAGTCTGCTGTACAAGATCAGGTACGCATTGCTCCATTGTCGCGGCGACCGCGGCGTGGATCCGTGGCGGGACCTCCCGCGTGTATTTTTAGTAATCGGGGCACCGGCGCTTCATCTACAATCTCGTTCGTGTGATCCTTCCATCATCGTAATTGAATTCTTACCACCATATTAATTATCATTTCAACCCCTGTTTTAATGCTGATATCCCCCACCCGTATTAATCCTGATCCTTCAGTATCAATCCTGATCCCTCAGTATTAATCCCGTCCCCCAGTATTAATCCTGATCCCCCAGTATTAATCCTGATCCCTCAGTATTAATCCTGATCCCTCAGTATTAATCCTGATCCCCCAGTATTAATCCTGATCCCTCAGTATTAATCCCGATCCCTCAGTATTAATCCCGATCCCTCAGTATTAATCCCAATCCCTCAGTATTAATCCCGATCCCTCAGTATTAATCCCGATCCCCCAGTATTAATCCTGATCTCTCAGTATTAATACCGATCCATCAGTATTA